TGTTAAACGTATTACAAGGAGAAAAAAATGTATTTAAAAAAAAAATAAAAAAAAAAATTAAATAAAAAATTTTTAAAATAAAAAACATGACAATTCAATAAATGTAGAAAAGACAAAATTTAAATAAAATTCACACACACACACACACACACACACACACAGGTATAAACACGCATACATGCAAAGTACATATAAAGTAGGAAAATATTAAAAGCATGTGCAACTGCAATTAATTTACGCTGAATATAAATTTAACATCTACGTAGCCGGGTATATATGTACGTGTACGTGTGTTTTGCGTGTGTTTGCGTACATGCCTGCTTTAAATGAAAATGTTAAAAGCGGCAAAAGCAGTGCACAAGTAAACATTAAATTGCAAAATAAACGTGTAATGCTTTTCAATTAAAAAAATAATAATAAAAAAAAAAAAAAAAAAAAAAAAAAACAACAACCACAACAACAATAATAATAACAAATAAGAAAGCAACAATAACAATAACAAACCAACAACGTAGCAATGGATGACAACGATCTGGTTTCAACGTTATTTGCCATTTATGTTGAATTGAGTCAATGCAACTTGGGGCAATTAAAGCGCCCGATTTTCTACGTACGTTCGCACTTACGTACGTTTACACGTTTAGTTTACTGCTTTTACCGTGTAGACGAGCGCATTGTTATTATTGTTGTTATTATTGCAATTGTAGCTGTATTCGCATTGTTGTTGTGGTTCGCATTCAATAAAGTGATGCAACAAGTCGAGGCAAATGAGGTCACGATAACACTGGTTGCCCAGGTAAGGGGTAACAGGTAATATTTGCGGTTTTTGAGGGTGACTAAGGTTGACCCAAGCACGTACACAGGGTATTCCGAGTTAATTGTTTGTTCCTTGTTTTTTTCTTCTGCTCTTTGGTTTGAAAGACGCATTTATATGCAAGTAGAAATTTGTCAACACTTACTCGCTATTGCTGGGAGTTATTGAATTTTTTCCCTAAATTCAAGTATTCCTAGGTTATTAAGGCCCTTCTAAATTTTTTGGGGGTGGCAAAAAAAAAAAAAAAAAAAAACAGCTCAAGACAGTGCCAATTACAAATGAAGAGGATTTTTGCCAATCGTCGTCCATCCCTGAGATCCATTTTAAAGGTGGAAAGAGTTATATGAAAAAAGGGTTCTATGCCATTTATGAAAGCCCAGGATATAAACTCATGTGTATAGAGGGTATTAAAGATAGTGTAACATGATAAAGTGCCCGGCGTATGCTGGGTTGATTACTTCTCCTTGTACTCAAGGGGGAAAGCAGTTAAGTGGCTTCGTACGGAGTACGGACAATCCCAACCCAATTGTGAACATAATGACACACATAACGCTGACAGTTCTAAAGCACTGTATAATAAAACTATAGGATCGGCGGAAATCATATAGGTTGTTCACTCAGTCAATGTCACGCATGTCTGCTAAGGCGGGCAGGGATGGCTGCATCGATTACACAAACCCGTCGGTTGGTGCTTGCCAGGATTCCTCAAGGGAAAACTTGTATATATATATATCTCATGTAAGAAACACCCGTGGAAGTGGTGAATACAGTCACAATTTGAAGGCAAGAGGTTCAACTAATGTGTGAGGCCTGCTCGCTTGGGTGCCACCGTCCGAGGACAATTCGTAATGACTGTGCAATCCCCAAATGCGAGGCATTAAATAAGTAGAAGTAATTGATGCGCCTCTACCAGAGGGGAAGGTTTGCGCCATACCCCAACTTTCATTTCCTCCTGTAGGGTTGTCATGCAAAATTGAGGGATGTCCAATTCACTTAATTAATTGCCAATTATTCTGGGGGACTGATTAGCTGAAGCTCTAAGCCAGACGCAGACATGATCTGTACTTACTCACCTAATGAGCTTGCAGGCTTCATTTTTTCAGACTATCAAACCAGATGCTGACGTTAAATCATAAAGACATCCATACTTACTTTCTGACAGTGTGGTTTTCGTGCATACCTGCTGTTTGAACTCGGTTTGGGCAAAGACTGTATTAGACGGAGGAGATAGCCGCATACTTCGCTTCATCCAGTGGGAATACTATGTCCACGTGCATATCATAAACTTGTTCTATTTTCTGCACCTTCATTTTATATGAGATCTGTAAGATCCCGTCTCAACAGAGGCTTTTATTATGTTTACCTTCAATATTTGCTTTTATTCTATTTTGATACTGTGGGTGTCAGTAGAAGCCACCGAAACTATTTACCAGATTCGATCTGACAGGAGTGGCGGCCCATTGCGTAAGTTTCCTAGCGGCTGTGGTTTGTACAAAATCGCGCGATGAGCTTGCTTGCATGATCGGGAGACCGACGTTTGGGAAAAACGGAGGTTTGAAGGTAGTTTTCACGCTGGGAATGACAGCAGCATAGGATGACGTTTGGGGCGTGGGGGGAGAGGAGCGGGTGCGTTCTCCTATTTATCTACATCTGATTTGCAACCAGTGTCACCATCATTTCAAAATAGACTTCCCAGATTTCATTTTAGTTATCAACCGAGAGACCAGCGGACAGATGGATACATCTGGCGACATGGGCTCGAAAATATTTCGAATATCGGGTAAATCCGTAGACATATCTTTTCAGTATCTCTAATGCCCGTTGTAGTAACCCATAACTGGCATACTTCCCTACTTTGATATGGCAATGGGTATGATGTGCTAAAAATTATCTGATTGTGTTATAAATGGTATAATTATCAGTCTGTTTTGAGGCACATTGTATAACAAAGTTTTTCTTGAGACAAAAAAAAAAAAAAAAAAAAAAATATTAAGCCTGTGAACAAAGTTGAATCCATCAGCCTAATTTCAGATATTTAGTATATGACTAAAGGTGAGCAAAGCTTTACTCATATTTAACACTTTTTAGGATTGCCTAATATGAAATCCTCATTAAATTGCAGTATTTTCTCGTGGTAGAATAGATTTCTCTTTCTCTCTACATTTATCTGTAAACATGTGTTATATATATATATATATATATATATATATTTGTAGTTTTGTGTTAACCTAAATTTTCTTTTTAAAGTCATAAATAAACAGAAGCATATTTATTAACGATTTATGAATTGTGTGTGAACGCCACTGGAAAATCTTTTTCATTTACTCCCAAATATGGTCAAAAGCAATTTATGATTTATACGAGATTTTCATGTTCATAATATATATATATAGGTATATATATATATGTTTGGTTGATTATGCGTTATTTCTGTTTTTGTCAAAATCATGAGACTTTATTATTATGATTCATTATTATTATTATCGTATAAAAAAAACATTTTATTTTATTAAATTTTCTTCATATATAATTTTCATAATAAAATTTTGTTTTAATAAATTAACCATAATGCGACGTGCACAACCACCACCACCACCAGCACCACCACGACCAACGAAAAAATTCTTTTTCAGCCTCATGCATAAGCATATCATGATAGTAGTACCCAAGCATGAGATGCATGCCTTGCATAAATGCCTGCCGATGGCAATTATATGCGTAAACTTATGCACATTTTTATGACTAATATTAGCAAAGCATTAATGTTTTAATTTACAAATTGAAAAAAATTAAAATTATGTATTGTATATTATCTTAATCGGTTGCAGTTATATCTCAGATTCCTACAAGCGCAAGGGTTCGTTATATGAGACAATCGATGTTGAGGAAATGCCCTGTCAGATGAGATTCATTTCAATTGAATGAAGTGCATGCCATGAGTACTGACGCTTCGTTGCCTGTCTACGCAGTACAGGAGCATTTGCTCGCTCTTTTTACTATTGAGTTACTTTATCAACGTGTATCTTACCTTTGTCCTTGAGTCTTTCATCACTCTTTTAATGGCTCGCTTTGCCTACCTTAAGTTTAACGTCCCTGCCGGGTAATATATTCCTTCTTCTCTACCATACTTTAAAAGGTTTGGTTGGATTGTGCTCTTTCTAGCAACTTTTGACTATTCTTATCGCTTCCTATCTATCCATCCGTTCATTCACTCTAGCTTGAGCATTTGCTCTGAATGCTTTGTAGATCATCAAGCGCCTTCTACGCATTTTCTAATTATAAAACGCAAGTTGTTGTTGCTTACCTTTACGATAATTATTTGCTATTAAAATATTATAAAAGTTATCCATAACCTTCAAGGAGCTTTAAATATCAACCATGTATTGTTCTGGGTGTTCATATATAAAAGACTGAGTACGACTTGAGTCAACTAATTTTACTTTTTCATGGACGACTAAGCTTGCGAAGTGTTGCATGTGTATTGAAATTTTTCCTAAACAACCTTGGAATGCACGACCTCTTAAATTTTAAAAAAGACAATCAATTACGAAAAATTTCATCATTACTCCTAAAAAGCTGAAGCGCATTCGTAAAGCTTTCTAAAATTTCTTTATGTTCGGTACGATGATGTTGTGCTTCAAAAAAAAAAAAAAAAAAAAGAAAGCATTTAAAAACCGCCTTAAATTACTTCCTAAAGATGTATAAGCAAATATGAATGTGAAGCACATCTTAACCTCAAATTTCATCAGAAAATTACCTGAAGTCATTTTATGAAGTTTTAAGAAATTTTATGAGGAATTTTTTGCTCACATTCTCTCTCTCTCTCTCTCCATGCTTGCTGTTTGTATATTATATAGTCATAAGTTGTTGGCAAAGGTTTTATTAAAAACGTATTACAAAACCAGTTCAACAAAAATGTATATTTGCTGACTGAGCACATCGCCAAGACGGATGAATGGTATGTATGTTGGTTACATCCAACAAAAAAAGAAACGAAACGAAAAAAAAAAAAAAAAAAAAAAGAGGTGATAATGGTGTGCATACAAAATGATTCAAAATGATTCATACGTATAAGAAAATGCTTTAGTAATAAATTTTTAAAAAGCAATTTGCTGTTTAAATAAATTTTTGTAAATTATTTAACAAATTAATTTAATTGTGATTTATTTTCTTTAATCTTTTGCAGACATATTCTGGCCTCTTCTGCGTTGTTGTAAATCCCTATAAAAAGCTACCAATTTATACGGAAAAGATTATGGAACGATACAAGGGTATAAAAAGACACGAAGTGCCTCCTCATGTATTTGCTATAACAGATACCGCCTATAGATCTATGTTGCAAGGTAAGAAAAGCATACAATCAAATCGAACCTTTATGATACGTAGATATAATAGTAGTAAGGGCGACGATGATTCTTTGAGGAATTTGCTGAAATTTCTTTCGTTCTTGGTAGAACACGTAGCAAACATTAAGGTGCCGTTATCCAGATTATTGATTTGTGAGATTATAAAGTAAACGAATGCCTACATCTGCGCTGTCTATAGATGTACACTGGAATATGTCAACGTAGAATAGGGGAAAAGCCATTTAATGTTCACAGAGATACTTAGTGGAAACCAAACAATTTGCTTCTCATTGGTGTGAAATTACATTGCTTGCGATTCTTAAGCTTGTCTGTCATGAATCCGGCGCCTTGTGCTAAATTTACGAATCTATCTTCAAACAAAGTCATTAGTCATTCATTTCATTATACATTGTATGAGTTCAAAGTGTCCTCACTCACCTGCACTTAGGTACGTGCATGTGAGTGTCTGTCTGTAAGTAAAGAACTCTCTGTCGAACATGTTAACTGTTTTCTCGAATGTTGGATCGCTCCTCCAGACGTAGGATGAGAAATAGAAATTGATCTTCTGTCAGTTTGGCGGCTTTTTACGTTCCAAGTGCAAAAACAGAGGGAGCAAACAGAGCGCATTTCCTCTCCGGAGATGTCCTCTACACGTGTATCGCTGTGATGTTTACAAGGAATGTTATGCCTTTGCCGACCTGGCAGTCACAGCTCAAATTCACATCTACCGTAATTAAGAGAGAGAGAGAGAGAGAGAGATTCATCGCAATGAGGATTGAATCCACCAATGCCTTCTTCATAATCGCTTTTCTCAGTTTTTTGACAGTCGTTGCTCCACTCCGTTTTGTTAAGGGAATAGTAATTACGGTGATTTCTTGCCCTCTCTCTCTCTCTCTGACCATAGGTTAATGAGATTGCAACTGCTTGTGTGATCCATGGCAAACACTTCATCGGGTTGTATTATTTGTATAAAAGAGCGATTACTTCCGTTCGAAGTGCTTCTAAAGAAGGGAATGACATTAATGGCACGGCTTTCTTTTTGTTGTCATGCTTGAACCAAAACTCTTTCCAAATTAAAATCAAAGCTTATTATCTGTTCATTACACTTTCGGTAATAAATACGGTATAAAATACTCGGCCGCTTTGAAAAATTCCCGCTTCTTCATCCAAGTACATTGTTATTCTAACTTTGATCAATCTTAATATAATTTCTCTCCCTCCCTTTCTCGCTACTTAAAAAGTAGAGTTTTTCTTATCAATTTTTAATTTATTTTTTTTTTTTTCCTTTTTCAAAAAACTTCTTCAAATATATTTTTATTTATAGTCTGAAATAAATAAACAATCAATTGATTGTTTAAGTGTTTTTAAATTTAAATTCATATTGCATTTGGACTTTATAGCTGACTCATCGTCATAGCTTAATAGTGATAACAGCCCCAGTTGAATTTAGAGAAATTATTTATATTACAAACAAATTTTAACAACTTCCCTTTTTCACTTGAAATGAACAATTGATCGAATTGGTCGAATGGCATGATTCATAAAACGCAAAGACGGATAATTGAGGTCGTTTTTCTGTTTAAATTTAAAGGAATTCCATAAATTTTCTTAGTTATTATTCATGATAGGAAAAAAAAGTTGATTTTCATATCGACCACCGAAGGTTGTGCGTTTACATATTTTCTCGAAACATATGCAACATCCAAAACAAGCTTTACAACGACTAATTGCATTTCTGATTAATGTCAAATTTGCAATTCATTTGGGCATGTCCGTCCGTCCGTCTGTCCGTCTAAATCATTCTTCTAAATTAAAATCTCGGCTTTAAATTAAGCAAAACCATTGAAAGAATCGACAAGCCTTGAATCGATCAAAGAGCACGGCCACGGCACAACATGAACTGATAGGAGCTCGAAGGCCGGTTTTTATAGCTTGATATTTTGATATTGAATAAATTCGACCGTGACTTGGATATATTGCCCGAGAACAATTTCGCCGTCGAAAGATGTACCTTTCGATAGCAAGAAAAAATGTGTACCGTATCGACATCGGTAAAGTAAGTGCTTGCTACAGCGAACGAGTTTACTCGATATCGGCAGTTATAAACCCCCTCGTCTTTCCAAGAGCAAAACTATTATCACTCACTCACAGATGCAAAGATAGAAATTCCAAATTATATCCTACAGTGTCCTTGCAGACACGAAAGAATTGCCACGCCCAACCAATGCTATAGTTTATCAAAGTTGCATTTTTTTTTTATCATACCGATCGGAAAGAAGCTTCAAGAAGCCTACGAGGTATATATATTTTTGACTAGCATCAAATTTGGAATCCATGTGAGAATTTTCGCCTATTCATCTGTCCATCTTTCCGTCCGTTCACTTGTGTGCCAGCGACGATAAACATTTCACCACTCGTAAAAATGAACACATCACCTTTAAATTTAGCACAACAGTTGAAAATTCTTGCATGCAGGTTGATCTTGAAAATGAACTGAATCGGCCAAAAGGAACGCCTACAAACCAAGAAAACTGAGAATATCTCAGCTATTTGGCAATATTTCTCATAAGCCAAAGTACGCAAACAATAAGAATTTTATCAAAACGTAAAAAATCGTCAACTTCTCCCACCCAATATTATGGAGTATCGATGTTTGTGTTTCTTTTTTTTTTTTTTTTTTTTTTTTTTTTTTTTTTTAATAAACGTGTTGCCCACAAAAGATTTCGTCTACAACCGAACATTACTTTTCTTACTTGTTTATGCCTGCATGCATGCGTGTATGTAGTTACTTTTCTAATTACACAGTAATACCTGCTCATATTAATAAAGTGTGTGAAGTGCTTACGAAATTATGCAATGAATCATAAGGAAATTCTAATACAAAGATGTTCGTGTGAGTAATTATTCATATGTTATGCATAGTTAAAAGTAGCGGAAAAAAAAGAAAGAAAGAAAGTCTGTTTGAAGTACTGCTGGTGCCTAGAGTAGAAACCAGTTATACAATAATGCTCATTTACATAGCTTTTGCAACCCGTTTAAACGTTCATGTCGCACAATACCATAAACTATCCAGGTACGCATGTTGTTCACGTTTCTGACCACAGAAACCTAAGTCAATAATAACAACAAGTATATTTATATGATGATGAAATGAATAAAGGGAAAGGGAGGAAGGAAAAAAACAAAAACAAAAAAAAAAAACAACAAAAAGAAATGTATGACATTGAGTGTGAATCATAAATTCCAAGTGTGTTATCTTTTTCTCCGTACATCTTAATACCAAATATGGTAAAATAAACACAACTAAAACTAAGCAAAACAGACTTAAACGTGTGTTTTGTTTTGTTTGGTTTTTAGAGGCAAAGTCAAGAAAACACTAAGATGCGTGCACCGACCAACATAGTATATTATTAATAATAATATTAATCGTTGATAAGAGAGTTCGGTTTTCCTTTTCTTTTCTCTACGCATATGTATTAACATAGCGAGGAGTCGACCCTGTCAAATTACACACATATATATTTATATTTATATTGTACATATAAGTGCATTTACTTTTACTAACATTATGTTCTCCAATGTCCGACCTTCACCGTTCCGGTTCAATGTTTTCTGAATGATTTTTGCCTCATAATAGCAATCAATAAAATATTGATATTAAAAAACAATTATTATGGCCTTAAATGGACTGAATGGATGTGTAAGTCTATGTGAATATAATCGTATGTCTCTTTGCATCAATTGCTAATATAGACACTATAACGATGATTCTGAACTTCATCATTGTTTTTTTTTTTTTTTTTTCGTTTGTTTTTGTTTCTTCAAGTAAAGAAAAAATTAAAATTACTTACTTATACTTTAGGCGAAAGAAAAACTTTGTGTCAAAATTTTCGAAGAAGGTTCGAACGCATTTTTCCTATCATTTATATTAAGTGCATTAAGCCAAGGGACGTTCCCTTTTGTGTTTGTACGTAACAGCAAGCCGGCGTGACATCTCCATAGAACTTTTCGATTTTCTTGGTGAAAAATGCAATCAAGTGATTTTCACAGTCCTTCTTTCAAGGTAGAGTTACGCTTTTAACAAAGTTTTGCGGTGAACGCATCAAAACTTCCCAGTCATGCTCTCCCAGTTTTTGCCGAATCATTAAAGATATGTATGTTATGGCATTGTCGTGATAGAAGACGAAGCCAATTGATTAGTGTCTTAAGAATTACCTCAACTACTTCGATTGCATTAATTGTTGAGAGTGAAAACTGGAATCGATCGCCTGGCTATACGTGGCTTCAACCTCGCCCTCCCTCCACCGTTTGGGCGATTTCAACTATTTTCGACAGTAATCTTTTTCGTCCATTCCTAAAATCGACTTCACTCGCTGTTTAGATCACTACACGCGGTGATCTGTAGATGGAAGCTGATGCAGGAATGTTAGGTCCCCTCAATTTTCTCATGCGGGAACTGAATTTCGGAATTGTTCTTGTATCTAACTTTATGTAAATGAAGCTGTGCGTGTTTGGTTAAGGCTTGCCATCGAATCGGTGTCATGAATTAAAGATGCCGATCTTTGACGAATTTCATCAAAGATACCAACGATTGCCCAGGAGAAATCGACAATGCATTTATGTCCTGCTTGTTTGCATAAAGCGCCTTCTACTCTAAGCACCAGGAATATGTCGACAATTCTGTGAAGTGTTGGAAATTGTGGTGAACTTACTCAGAATTTTTCTTTCACTTCCACTTTCGACTAAGTTAATGCGATAAAAATCTTTTTTATTTTGATTGCCTGTCACACTTGTATTGTGTAGTTTCATCGTGCTATCATGTTATCAAAGTTGGGCGTGACTAAAGTCATCTATACAAAAAAACGGCGTTAACTCTTACTTTTGGCCTATCATGAAGCAAACGGAAAAGTAATCTTTGCCTGGCGAATATTTGATCGGTGACACCTCAAGAATGTTGTGTATGCTGTCAACTTTTATTGTAAAAAGGTCGGGCATTTCAATCTACGTCATTGTTATTCATAGATTTTCCTACAAAAGTGTTAGATAGACGTTCCTTCCATAAGTATAGTATTTACCTGCAATGGCCCCGTGTGACGACTTTATTTTCCAAATCTTTCATTGGAATTATTTTGAGTCAAGAAAAATAGTCCTTAAAGTGGCTTCTTTGAAAGTAACACTAGGAAAGATTTTTTCATATATACACACATGACACGAAACTTGGGCCGTTGGTTAATCGCAGATTTACTAATCGAACAAAGATATTCCATAGTGATTCAGGAAATGTACTTAGGCCCTATTTTTTGAACGTAGTAGTAGGGTGTATACTTTAAGGACCTGCTGGAATGTGCGTAGTAGAATGCCAATCACGAAAATTTCTATTCATTTTGTATATGCCTAAGAGGTAGTAGATACAAGAATGATTGAGTAGCTCTTCGCGTTTTTTTATTTCTTTTTAAAGCAAACACTCCATGAAGCATATCGACGCATTACTGATCATTAAAGGGTAAAAATTTTCGCTAATACTGAGTTAAGAATTTTTGCTAAAAGTCAACTACAGTCGATCCATATCAATTTTTTACGCAAGGTTGTTAGGATGAAAAAATTTTATTGACAGGCAATAAGTTATCGCGTAAAGCATTAGGTGCGGGTAGCGCACCGCCGTTTTGCCAATAGCCATGCTGTAATGCCTTTTCGCATATTTACTTTAATGTTGTGTTTAAGTTGGCTCAAGTTCATCCCTGACAATAAACTGGAATGAAGGTTTCATCGTCAACTGTGGATGCATTAGTAAAGCGATTAGGGTTTTGTTTTTATGGAATATACCGGCATCGTAAGTTGAAAATATGAAAGCCTGTCGTTGCTTTTCCGAGGTGGATTTAATTATTTGTTCTGGATGCGCATGTGGACAGATTGCAACCATTTTTAAACCTAGGCTTCTTAATCACTCAAAAAGTGCTTCATTCTTGCGGCTTCGAACGATTCCACAAAGTTTGTGAGTCGTGTTGATCCATTTTGGAAGAAATAGGTACATATCACCGGCTCTTGAGAACTAGAGTAAGTAGAAAAATATTGATTATACGTGCTTTGAATGCTTTTTTCATATAAATAAAAGTTAGCGAAAAGGTTTGAAATCTTAACCTAATTTACCTACAACGCACTACGAACGCCGCCGTTCTTCTGTTAAAAAACATGCAAGAATGATTCGAGAAATGAAAGGAAGTAGATACGAGCCTAGTAGACGATTTCAAAGCTTTCCTTAAAATAAGAAGAAGTGAAAACGTTATGCCCGGTCTTGACCTGCGATTAAATACCCTGCACCATTTCACTTGATACAATTATTTATATAACGTCTTTTCAAAATAAGGCGCTATGTGGGAGGTGGTCGCAATTATGGTCCGATCCTAATTATTTTCAAAAGCGTTCGCCACAACACATCATTGTCCCGAATTTCATCCAAATATCACAAAAATTGCAATCTGTCAGTTAGACATAAGAGCACAAACGCATAGACAGACAAGCTTAAAATCACGTTTTGAAGCGATTGGTACCCCGCCAGTGCTATCAGTTGTAAGAGATTATTTGAATTTAAAAAATAAATATATTTTAGCGAATAGATTTCAATTTGCTCTCATGCTGTGAATTGATGGATTCTTTTCGCTTTGTGACGAATTAGGTCATTCGCTATAGTTAATTAAGCACTTTATTTGTATTTAGTTACAAATGTTTATTGATTTAAGAATTGTTGTTGTTGGTGCACTCATTTAATTAAATTATTATCTTGTTTTATCTTTGCTTCGTCGTCGTGCAGATCGTGAAGATCAATCGATTTTATGTACTGGTGAATCGGGTGCTGGTAAAACGGAAAATACCAAGAAAGTCATACAGTATTTAGCGTATGTGGCTGCCTCGAAACCGAAAGGTTCTGGAGCGGTAAGTTTCCCACCCATAACCGTATTTATGTTTTCCTTTATTATTATTATTATTATTTTTTTTTTTTTTTTATGAAGAAAATTAGAAAATTATTTGAAAATATATTTTTGTTTTATCAAAGCAATCGGTTTTTCATTCTTTCTTCCTGGTTCCTAATGTGGAACACTTGCTTAACTACAACAACAAAACTTTTATTTGTTATGATTAAACAAAGCAAATATTTATTAAAATTCTTATAAAATAATGAGAAAAAAGAGAGAGAGAGAGAGAGAAAAAAAAACTTTAAATGCCTGAAATATATATTTAATGCATTTATCAAATTATGCAAGAGTGTGGGAGTCGTTTTGTTTATTTTTTATTTTTTATTATTTTTATTTTTGTTATTAACTGTTCTTAGAAAATTTTTATTTATTATTTATTTGTTATTAGATGGTGAGACAGGGAAAGGTAGGGTAAGGTAAGGAACTCTATTTGAGTGTCTGCCAAAGATAAATGCGGCTTTTTTCTTTTTATCGTACCATATTTGAACAATCGATTAGGAGGAGGAGGAGTGCTTAGTGAATAGACGCGCTTGACAAGTGTTTTCGTATTTACATATAAGCGTCACTACTTCGAAAAGCTTAAGCAATAACTGTGTGACTCACGGATAATTGCTTCTTCGAGACTTAATACAACATTTATAGTGTAACTGTTGTACAATTTACAAAAGTTTTACCTTTTTCTGTCGCGGTATGTACTGATGCTTTGGTGCCCATAAATAAATGGACTTTTAAAAAAAACTATTTCCATATGGTAGGTATGTGTTTTCTATGTTAAAGCAAATGAAAAAAAAAAAAAAAAAAAAACTCAAGTTTAACACATTAGATGTGGTAGCCATTTAAGGTTAGCAGTTCACACATACATTTTAGAAAACAGAAAAACCTCCTTATGACCATTAAGAGCGACGCCATCAAGCTATGCTATATTAGTTTTATGACTTGTGTTCTTTTTTTTGCTTGTTAATCACAAAATCGCCACTGGCCATGCTATTGCGTTCTATACAAAGTCGCTTTGTCCTCCTCTTGTCTGCAGATCATAAAGTTTTTTCTTTTTTTTTTTTTTGTTTCTGTTCAGTTAGAGAAATCAAAACCCGATTTTTCTTTTCGCCATATGGCAAAATTTATTTTTTTTTGTTTTTTCCAAGATGCGAATATAAGGCAAGAAATTTTTGAAATGCAGTTTATTTTTGCTCAATAAGTCATTTTGGCTAATAATTCACCAAAAAAAAAAAGAAAAAAAAAAAACGGAAAAAACCAAAAAAAAAAAAAAACATTAAAAACGAATTTAACAAATTTGGTAACATCAGGTTTTGATTTTTGAATTTATTTATCTCAGCGTTTTCTAGCTGTCGCGCCACTGTCAACTAAATAAATAAATAAACAAAATGGCAAAAAAAAAAAAAAAAAACACCAAAAATGCAAACAAAACTTATCTCAAATAATATTTAATTAAATTTATTGACATTTGACGTGCACGCATGCGCTAAAAAAGCAAAGATAAATAAATAGAAACGAAAAAGAAAACTGTATTCGCCTTGAAACGTATCTTTGGATAATCATCATCAACTCAAGCAACTATATATATATATATATATATAAACACGTATATACATATAACTGGGGTATTTTCTTTTATATATGTGGGTACATAAATGGTCGTTCGCCTGTGTCCACAAGGGCTTTTGCGCATGCATTTCTTGAGTGTAACCGTCTGTAGGGTGTTTATTGGATAAAAAGTGAAACGTTCCATTGCCGTCGAACTAGCTAGCTTTACCATGACATGTGCATGTATCTGTTTGAACCTCTGACCGTCTAACCTTTTGACTACATAAGTATAACACATTATTCGCTTACACAAAAGTGGCGCCCATTGTCGCGTTGGTTGTACAAAAATGGCTGATTTTCACTACGTGATTACAAACATTTCTTTCTGATACAAAACTAATGTCTATGTACATTAGTGTTCGAAACCTTCTTACCGGACCGGTCGACGTTATACCCTGTCCTCCTGGCCCTGGTCTCCTTTGGCCTTTATTTAGGTGTGGGAGTTATGTATATACCTAAGAAAATGCTGGAGTTTCTGCTTTAATTTAAGTTAATTATGAACATTTCTATATATAGATCTGCCACTAGGCTGTTGGTCACTCTCTATTTATTTATTGCCCCAATGCTTTCCCATCGTCACCATGTTTCCCGATATTGCGAACAATTGCTAAAGAGGAAAGAAATACCACATATGGCGTCTAGGACAGTTAGAAATGTAGGGTTTTCCACCACAGGCCATTCTTGGTCTTACGATACGCCAAGGCACTTTGTCGGACATATGAAATTTTTCATCTTTCTCGAGAGAGAGGGCCTATGAAATGACCGTCGACCTATCTGAAATCGTGAAATGATGCAATAAACTGGAAACGTGATGAGATATCTTCATCGTTCTCTGTTTTTCCAAATTTTATTGTTGAACGATTTGTCGCGTTTGTCAACGCGAAGTCTGATGCGAGATGAGACTCAACTAGTAAAATTTACCCAAGTGAACACAAAAGTTGAGTAAACACTTTTGAAGAAAGTGCAGGCCTCTCCTGTATAATAGGATTAATTCCTAAGGTAACGTATCGAAGCCATTATTATTTTTATATCCATCATCGAAGGGTGAGGAAGAATTCACTTTGTCAAAACGTTTGTAACGCCCAGAAGTAAGCTTCAGAGGCCTACAACAAAGAATATATGTATTCTTAATCAATATCAAATACTGCATCGATTTAAGTACGTCCGTCTGTCTGGTTGTCCATTTCTGTAATGTCTGCTGTTTCCGGGTGACAAAAATGAAACTAGTGACTTAAAACTTAATAGAAGCATTGGAGATTCTTGCACGTAGGATGGTTTCGAACATGGGCCAAATCAGTCAAGGGACACGCCCACAACACGACGTAAACTAAGAACGCCTCTGCTTTTCAAAACGAAAAACTATTGATTTGTTCCCTCATAGAGTGTAACAAATAAATGCATAACAATTTGAATGCATGTTCAATTGAACGATGCTCTAATACCTGCAGGACAGTGGACATCAAAATTTAACTTTTTTTCCAGCACCTTCATAACGTGCGAAAATAAGCTTCAAAAGTTCCCTAAAATATATAAATTCTTGGCAAGTTTCAAATGTGAGATGAATATTCGTCTGCCTGTCTGCCCGCCCAACTGCGTAAAGGTTCGCCCGTTGGCGAGAATGAAGATGTCGCCTACAAATTTGGCAAAAGAATTTGAAAGTGACCTAAACTTTTCAAGGATACGCCTATAACGTCCACACACTCATATCACACAAACTAATATAATAACTAATGAAAATAGAAAAAATCAACCACATTGTAGAGCAAGAAAATGTATTTATTTACGTTTTTTGTCTTCTTTAGCATAACGATAATGGGTATATAAGACTCGATCATGACCGAATGTAATTTTCTTACTTCTTTTACTCAAATTCTAATATCGTATAGAATAATATAACGTGTATCGAAACCGTGCTTTACAAGTCTAGCGTTAAGCGGTGCACCTCTGTATCATTGCAAGACCATATGATAGACATTGACACTGTCGGAACACACTGACGCACAAATGTGGTGACAACATAACCTCTGATGGCAATGCTTCTACAAGAATGAAGTATTTCCTAACCCAGCACATCATTGGATACATACTCGCTTACTCACCGTTTCGGTAAAAAGTAACACGAAATACCTCATAATAAAATCCATAATTAATTGATATGTAAAACATTGCAATCTCAAAAAAAGAAAAAAAAATATGGGGGACGTTTCTCTTAAAACCTCTCGTAATACCCAAGCATTTAACGATTACGGAGTTTCTCAGATATATTTTAAATGTAGGAGATTTACATAAAGAAGATCAGCTGTTTGTTTTTCTGGTGTGAGCAGCGTTGCCACATTCACACTCGCGCAAGCAAATTCACGCCCATTTCTAATTTTCTTTTGTCCTAATTTTTGAAAAGAAATTTTTATCTTCCCTTTCATTTTTAATAGCTTCTTGAAAAAGACCGTAAATAGTGTTTTCGATGGACAGACATACCGTAGGGCGTATATATTAAAGATATTTCTAAACTGTACAAACGGTATGACATAACTAGTATATGTTTATATATAAGATGATAGCTATAAAAATAAGTATTTTATCGATAGGACAGCAATCTTTGCCGTTTGTTGTATTATTCGCAATGAATTTGTTTTATGATTTGCCTCTTCGTACTTGAGCAATCACTACCTCGTAACATTTGACAGACCGCGACAGAGGTTATTTGTAGAGACAGGGAAAAAAAGATATAAAAAATTATGCGAGATAGCGAGAGAAGTGCGAAACAAATCTGTAACATATTTTAAGATGTCATGTATGGTAGTGATCGCGCGAGATATATAATAGAAATGTGTATTATGTGTGTCGTGTTGACAGTTTTAAATGAGTTGGAAAACAGTGTTTAGTAGTTGTTGTGTTGTTTTGTTTTGTCAATTTTAATTGAGTTTTTTTTTTATTTGTTTGTCTGTTTGTTTGTTTGTTTAGAAACAATTTAATCAGTGGCTTTGTAGGTTAATTTATTTAATTATATACATACCTGTGAGGTTTTTTTTTTGCCTGAATCTTAAATTTCATTGGTCTTGGACGAATATTGAACATATTTACACTTGGCTCCTAATAATGCAGTTGGATTTCTTTTCCAGTTTGAAATGATTAACGTCTCTCTAGAACTAATATTGAGATGGAATTTTGCGCAAAAGTTCGCAAGTTTGCAAGACATTTACTAGGGAAGCTGTGTTCCCGCATATTCGCGATGTTTGCCGAAATTCAGTTTTCTAACCGGCGCAGTTTCTAAGATTCACTGCTCGTTCGGAGCTAATTAAAAAAAAACTCTTATGTTTGTCCGCGTCATACTTAGTGTTTGCCCAGGCCTTCTCATAT